CTTTCTTCTTTCGTTCCGTCTCTATTTTTTACGCGTTTCATGAAGAGAGTTGAATTGTCATTTAGCTCTGACACCAAATATCTCGGAGTAAATTCAGTCATGTCATTTGGATGATATGCTATTAAATCATATTCCTTAGCGAGTTTGTATTTTCCAGGTTTGAAATTATATCCCATTTGGTGCTGAGCCATAAAGCTAAATAGGTTCGGGTCAGTATTTCCTTCCTTGAACTTTCTAATAGCTTCTTTATATCTGTCACTAAAGTCAAGAGTATTTGGGTAACCATAATCTTCCTTTAGCATTTTTAAGAATTCTTGGTTTCCTTGTTCTCTACTTCTTTTATGTCCTTGCTCTGTTTGTGGTTGTTGTTGTGCAGGATTTTGAACTGTTGGTTGCTGTGCTGGTTGTGGAGGTGGTTGTTGTGCAGGGTTTTGAACTGTTGGTTGCTGTGCTGGTTGTGGAGGTGGTTGTTGTGCTGGTTTTAGTGCATGCCTGTGTCTGTGTCCATGTGACGATGTAAATGTTTTAGGTAGTCCTGGTGCAGGTGCTTCTCTTGGAGGGTTTGGTGGTATATAGGTTCCACTAGCTAGTATATAAGTTCCACCAGCTGGTATATAAGTTCCACCAGCTGGCACATATGTTCCATCTGCAGCATAATGTCCTACCTGACTTTTCGTTTTTAAGAAAGCATTTACTAGGTCTGTTTTGGTCTGTTGTAACTCTTTTCTTGACTTTCCACAACAGTTGCTCTAACGGCGTCATAGGCACTTTGAACTGCCTGTCTCGTTGCTGCATCTGTTATTTTCGTCATATTTTGTGCTACTTCTCTTAACTCTTTGTCGAAACCTTCAGACTTCAGTTTCTTTCCAGATGAGAAGTCGTTCACTAGTTTCACCTTACTATGAAGAGCTTCGAAGGCGTTCTTAAAGTCAGCATTCATTAAAGCTTCATTTGAACTGTCTTCATCCGCTTGTATTTTTGTCCTTATTGACCCTATAAGTTGGGCTGCTTTAGCGTTGGCTTGGGCATCTAACCAGTCATTGTTAGCTTTTATATATTCTGCGCTTTTCATTGCCTTTTGCATGGCTGCGTCGTTATTTTTACTTTCTTGTGCTAAGTTTTCATACTGTACGGTTTGGTTTTGCAACTGTAAAAGTTTTTCTGCCTTTACATTTGCTTCAACTTCTTTTTTATACTCATCGCTATCCATATATGTCTTCAGGGCTTTTTGTTTTATTTCTTCATCTTTCAGTACTTTATATTGAGTAGTATGGTTTTTCAAATTTATAACATCTTGTTCCATTTTTGCTACTTCTGCTGCTTTTTCTGACACTTTTTTCGCATATTCCTCTGTACTTAGTTCTTTCAGTTGTTCTTCTTTCTTCTTTTTCTCTACGTTTAACTCATTGAGTTTCTTTGTGTGTCTGTCATATTCTAGTTTCTTTTCGTTTTCACTTATTTGCTTCTGTATGTCTATGTTTGACTTTTTGACATCTGATATTTGATTTTTGAGTGAACTCAAATTCATTTGACTTTGAGGGTTATAAGCTGTTCCGTCTGCAGCTCCACCATAGCCTGCCATTTTCGCTAAAAGTGCCGCTCTTAAACCTCCACTCTGTGCACCAACAACTCGGTTTAAAAGCATAGGATTGCTTGACATTTGTTGCAACATAGTGGGGTCATTCAGCATTTGTTGTTGCAACTGTTGTTGTGGTGTCAGTTTTACTATTGGATGTTTCAATGCTCCCTTCCTCTTACGTATATTCTTACGTAGCTTACGTGGCATTTTAAGTGAAGTTAAAAAGCGGCTTTTGACAGATGTTTATATGACACTATTTGTTCAGCACAAAAAACTACTCGGTCAAAGTGTTGTCAGTTTTGTAAAATAACCGTCCTATCTCATTCTATAAGGGAGAAAAGGCTTCTCAAAGTATACTTCCTTGGAACGCCTGTAACTTTTCCTGTAGCGATGATAGACCCTTACTTGTCCGGACAAAGTTATACTATTTTGAGTGCTATACAAAAAAGTCAACGGCTGGCTCGTCCTCAGAAATTTTTTATGGGCTAGAGGGCGCAACGCGCCTGGAAGCCCTCCGAATAAAAACTTCATTTATACTAAACATCTTCAGGGCTAGAGGGCGCAACGCGCCTGGAAGCCCCACTACCTTTTTTTTTTCTATTATTTAAAATTATTATATTTTAAAATTCATTTCGTCATGAAAATAAGGTTAATGTCAAAAGCGGTTGTTTTGAATATTCTTTTTCAAAAATTTGGTTGTTAATGAAACCTATGGGAATAATAACAGAATCTTATTGTCGGTTAAAGATGTTACAAATTTTGTTCTTCATGTTGATTGTGAAACCATTTATGGTACTTCAGAGAAAGAAGTTTGTACCGAATATGCTTTCAAAGAAAGCGCAAATACACTATCATCTATTACATTTCCGAAAGGATCAAAGCTTACAACAATCGGTGATTGTGCATTCTCACAATGTTCAAAATTACCCTCAATTGATTTTTCCAATTGTGAATTATTGACTGTTATTGGGATAAATGCATTTGCAAATTGCATTAGTTTATCAAATGTTATCCTTCCATCCAATTTGGAGATAATTCCAACAAAATGTTTTATTTCTTGTTCCATCAAATCCATAAATATCCCGAATAAAGTTAAGATAATTGGTGAAAGTAGTTCTGCATACAATTGGCAACCAAAATCAGTTACAATTACAGATTATTCTGACTTACAAAAAATCGAAGCTGGCTCATTTTATGCAACTATCATAGAGACAATATTTATTCCAAAAGGTGTTTCATCCTTAGCTGGAAATGCTTTTGAAACTTCTAAAACATTAAGAACGATTGTTGGAAATCCATCAAATCCATACTATTCTATAATGGATGGAGTTTTATATAGTTTCGATAAGACAATTCTTGTGAAATTTCCTGCAAATCATAGTACTTCATTTGAAATTCCAAATTCAGTAACCACAATAGAATTCTGTGCATTCATTGATTCTCTGATTGAAACAGTTAAATTTCCTCCAAATTTGCAAATATTGAATGGTTGGTCTTTTGCAACAACACGGCTCAAATCAGTAGTAATTCCTGATTCTGTTACATTTATGAGCGATGGTGTATTTTCCAGAAGCTATCATTTGAATGAAATTACAATTGGCTCTGGAATATCAGCCATTCCTGTATACGCATTTAATATAGCAAATATTACAAGTATTACAATACCAGAGAATGTTATATCTGTTGGAGCACATGCGTTTGAAGGATGTCCATATTTGAAAGATGTTATATTACCTTCTAAAATATCAAATCTAGGAGGTTCGTGTTTCCCAACGAGTGTAAACATCACATTCCCAAGTACTGCAAAACTTTCTATCGATGATCAGAAGATTTTGTATAATCTCGATAAAACTATATTGATTATGTGTCTTGAAAAACTGACTTCATATGTTATACCTAGTAGTGTTGAGACCATTCGAGCAGAAGCGTTCAAATCGATGAAAGATCTCACAAAGATTGAATTTCGATCAGGTTCTACACTTAAAACTATCGAATCACTAACATTTTCTGAATGCATAAAGCTTTCATCTATTGAGATTCCTAACTCAATTAGTTATTTTGGTGAGAGTGCATTTTCATCATGCACATCTCTCAAATCAGTTTTCTTTGGCAGCAAACTGACGCGGATTTCAACGAGATGTTTCGAAAACTGTGTCAATCTCGAGATTATTAGTTTCAGTCGATGTGATGGTAGTGCAACAATTGATTCATACTCGTTCAGTGGTTGTTCACACCTCAAAACATTTACATTGAGCGAAGGCATTGTTAGTATTGACATGCGGTGTTTCAATGATTGTATCTTGCTAGAGAGTATCAATATTCCATCAACTCTTAAATATATTGGTATTTATGCTTTCTCTAACACAAAGATATCCACTGTCACATTTGCATCACACAGTTCAATGGTCAATCTTAGTCAGTACTCATTCAGCCAGTGCACTTCTCTTCGAGAAATTGTTAACATGCCAGACAGTATCATGAACATTGGCTCAAACTCCTTTGAGTCTTCCAAGATATCATCTTTTACTGTTCCTATTTCTACAGAAACTATAGATAACTATGCATTCCGTAGGTGCTCTTTAATGGAGACATTCACAATTCCACCAAGATGCTCTCTCAAGAAAATAGGTAACTTTATTTTCGAAGGATGCGTATCGCTGAGCAAGATTGAATGTGTTGACAGCGATTTCTTTGTTATCGACAATGGTGCCCTCTTTGACAAGAACAGGAGCAAGTTAATCTGCTTCCCTCCAGCTTCATTAATTAAATTCTTTTGTTTCTCACAGAATGTCCGAACTATTTCATCGAGTGCATTCTACGGCTGCAAGCGACTTGTTGGAATCATGATCCCAGATGACTCCATTGAAAGCATTGGGCATTCTGCTTTTGCATACTGCACATCCCTCAAGTACATTAATATTCCTATCTGCGTGAAGAGTATTGATCAGTCAGTCTTTACCGGATGCACGAATCTTAACTGCGGTGTTACTGTTGAGAATCAGAACATATCATTCAAGCAATCTCTTGTTGAAACAAGCGGCCTTAGTCCCACATCTATGAAAGACTGTGGTTTGATTACATGCAAGAATGCTAATACTTATAGACCTGTCAAAAATTCTTATCTTTATGTATTTATTTTAATGTAGATCTATTTCATACATACATCTTAAAAAGTTATATGGCCGCAAAACAACAATTCTTAAGTGAGTAAATTAAAAAAGAAAATGATAATTTTATTTATATTCATTAGTATTTTGGAGTGTATTTTATCCATATTCCGTTCGAGTTTATCTTCTCTATCGATTTGGGTGTGAATTCTACAGGGTCAGTGTTCATCATATAGGGATTTGCTTCGAATAGCGAAACGCTGTTCGTTGCGTCTGCTGTTGCAGACAATAGGAGGCTGACTTCATCAACGATCTTAGCTTTCAAAACGCTCCAGTTGATCATCCTCTCCGCCTTCGACTGAGAGGACGTTGATGTGGAAGTCTTTCTTAAGCTTTGACATGACTGTCTTCCAGTCGACGTCTTCCTTGCCTGCGACGATGTAAGAAACGTTGAGTCTTCTGAGCAAGTTCTTGTACTGCGGTGACGCCTTCTCAGTCAAAATCTCGATCACGTGTGCTTCAGGGCGCTCGTTGAACTTGATCGTGTTTCTGTCCCATGGGAGCTTTCCTGATGGATCGATTCCGACGACGTATGCTTTCGCATCTGTGACAGCGTAGTAGTCGCCATCTGGGCATTCTTTTTCGTCAGGATTGACAGGTGGGTTCTCTGTCGATGGGAGGACTGCGTCGAATGTCTTCCTTCCCCAAAGCCATGCATCGATATTGTAGCTTGCTGATGTCCACTCATAGTCACTCATAGATGCTTTGCCGTTTTCTGTGTTCCAATATGGACCAACCATCTTGCCGTTCAGTGAGATCAGTGAGTGAATGTTGACGAATGGTTTATCGAAACTCATTGTTGAAAAATGAAAGATGATGTGACTAAAATTTTTTGAATGAATATCAATTGAATGAAAATATGATTTTTACATAGATATAACATACAACATACAAACGATTTATATGTTTTATTTTCATACACGATAAAAAATTTTTTTATAACAATTATCCGGCCAATCGTCTTTGTCAATTTTGAATCCCATCAACAATTTTTCAGTCGAAGTTCATGAAAATGATATGTATATATCATATTCGATCACTTTGATAAAATCAATCAAAATGAAATACGTTGATTTCTGATAAATCATTTTGTAAACATCTCAATTAATACAAAACTTTGAAATGATGAATGGATAACTCTCTCAATTATTCAATTTTGGCTTCCTCATCATGCAACACCACTCAAAATATTATAATTTGAGACATAATATACATACATTTCTTCATAATTCATGTTTTAAGATATATTTCTCAAAATTAACATTTCAAAATATCAATAATATAAATCCATATACAACAATTTATAATTTTCATTTGTCCTATGAATTTGATTAGCTTCATTTAAAGAAATTTAATTATTTGTATTTATTTTTCGTTAACATACGGAAATAAATGAGATTGTTAGAAATAAATATGCAGATAATGATGACAATTTTAAATATTTCTAATGGTTGTAGATATAATTGATTTAAGCGTTAATTCTCCAAAGTTAGCATTATTATATCTTAATATATGAATTAAAAAGAAGATTAGGCTGTTTATGCCTTTATATATTAGATTTTGAGTGATAGTTAATGATGAGGAAGCCAAAATTGAATAATTGAGAGAGTTATCCATTCATCATTTCAAAGTTTTGTATTAATTGAGATGTTTACAAAATGATTTATCAGAAATCAACGTATTTCATTTTGATTGATTTTATCAAAGTGATCGAATATGATATATACATATCATTTTCATGAACTTCGACTGAAAAATTGTTGATGGGATTCAAAATTGACAAAGACGATTGGCTGAATAATTGTCAAAGAAAAATAAAAAGAAAAAGAAAAATAAAATAAAATAAAAAATTATATCGTGTATGAAAATAAAACATATAAATCGTTTGTATGTTGTATGTTATATCTATGTAAAAATCATATTTTCATTCAATTGATATTCATTCAAAAAATTTTAGTCACATCATCTTTCATTTTTCAACAATGAGTTTCGATAAACCATTCGTCAACATTCACTCACTGATCTCACTGAACGGCAAGATGGTTGGTCCATATTGGAACACAGAAAACGGCAAAGCATCTATGAGTGACTATGAGTGGACATCAGCAAGCTACAATATCGATGCATGGCTTTGGGGAAGGAAGACATTCGACGCAGTCCTCCCATCGACAGAGAACCCACCTGTCAATCCTGACAAAAAAGAATGCCCAGATGGCGACTACTACGCTGTCACAGATGCGAAAGCATACGTCGTCGGAATCGATCCATCAGGAAAGCTCCCATGGGACAGAAACACGATCAAGTTCAACGAGCGCCCTGAAGCACACGTGATCGAGATTTTGACTGAGAAGGCGTCACCGCAGTACAAGAACTTGCTCAGAAGACTCAACGTTTCTTACATCGTCGCAGGCAAGGAAGACGTCGACTGGAAGACAGTCATGTCAAAGCTTAAGAAAGACTTCCACATCAACGTCCTCTCAGTCGAAGGCGGAGGAATGATCAACTGGAGCGTTTTGAAAGCTAAGATCGTTGATGAAGTCAGCCTCCTATTGTCTGCAACAGCAGACGCAACGAACAGCGTTTCGCTATTCGAAGCAAATCCCTATATGATGAACACTGACCCTGTAGAATTCACACCCAAATCGATAGAGAAGATAAACTCGAACGGAATATGGATAAAATACACTCCAAAATACTAATGAATATAAATAAAATTATCATTTTCTTTTTTAATTTACTCACTTAAGAATTGTTGTTTTGCGGCCATATAACTTTTTAAGATGTATGTATGAAATAGATCTACATTAAAATAAATACATAAAGATAAGAATTTTTGACAGGTCTATAAGTATTAGCATTCTTGCATGTAATCAAACCACAGTCTTTCATAGATGTGGGACTAAGGCCGCTTGTTTCAACAAGAGATTGCTTGAATGATATGTTCTGATTCTCAACAGTAACACCGCAGTTAAGATTCGTGCATCCGGTAAAGACTGACTGATCAATACTCTTCACGCAGATAGGAATATTAATGTACTTGAGGGATGTGCAGTATGCAAAAGCAGAATGCCCAATGCTTTCAATGGAGTCATCTGGGATCATGATTCCAACAAGTCGCTTGCAGCCGTAGAATGCACTCGATGAAATAGTTCGGACATTCTGTGAGAAACAAAAGAATTTAATTAATGAAGCTGGAGGGAAGCAGATTAACTTGCTCCTGTTCTTGTCAAAGAGGGCACCATTGTCGATAACAAAGAAATCGCTGTCAACACATTCAATCTTGCTCAGCGATACGCATCCTTCGAAAATAAAGTTACCTATTTTCTTGAGAGAGCATCTTGGTGGAATTGTGAATGTCTCCATTAAAGAGCACCTACGGAATGCATAGTTATCTATAGTTTCTGTAGAAATAGGAACAGTAAAAGATGATATCTTGGAAGACTCAAAGGAGTTTGAGCCAATGTTCATGATACTGTCTGGCATGTTAACAATTTCTCGAAGAGAAGTGCACTGGCTGAATGAGTACTGACTAAGATTGACCATTGAACTGTGTGATGCAAATGTGACAGTGGATATCTTTGTGTTAGAGAAAGCATAAATACCAATATATTTAAGAGTTGATGGAATATTGATACTCTCTAGCAAGATACAATCATTGAAACACCGCATGTCAATACTAACAATGCCTTCGCTCAATGTAAATGTTTTGAGGTGTGAACAACCACTGAACGAGTATGAATCAATTGTTGCACTACCATCACATCGACTGAAACTAATAATCTCGAGATTGACACAGTTTTCGAAACATCTCGTTGAAATCCGCGTCAGTTTGCTGCCAAAGAAAACTGATTTGAGAGATGTGCATGATGAAAATGCACTCTCACCAAAATAACTAATTGAGTTAGGAATCTCAATAGATGAAAGCTTTATGCATTCAGAAAATGTTAGTGATTCGATAGTTTTAAGTGTAGAACCTGATCGAAATTCAATCTTTGTGAGATCTTTCATCGATTTGAACGCTTCTGCTCGAATGGTCTCAACACTACTAGGTATAACATATGAAGTCAGTTTTTCAAGACACATAATCAATATAGTTTTATCGAGATTATACAAAATCTTCTGATCATCGATAGAAAGTTTTGCAGTACTTGGGAATGTGATGTTTACACTCGTTGGGAAACACGAACCTCCTAGATTTGATATTTTAGAAGGTAATATAACATCTTTCAAATATGGACATCCTTCAAACGCATGTGCTCCAACAGATATAACATTCTCTGGTATTGTAATACTTGTAATATTTGCTATATTAAATGCGTATACAGGAATGGCTGATATTCCAGAACCAATTGTAATTTCATTCAAATGATAGCATCTGGAAAATACACCATTGCTCATAAATGTAACAGAATCAGGAATGATTACTGATTTGAGCTGTGTTTTTGCGAAAGCTGTTGTGCATGAAAAATAGCGTGACTTCACTTTTGACAAAAACTGACATTGTTTCTGATGGTTTTGTCATTTATTTGTCAGATTTATAAATGGATAATAATGCTGTAAATCAGATATTAATTAAAAATATTTAAGATTTATGTTCGAATTGAAAAGCAAAATGATATTTTTTTAATTGAAAAACGTTAATATCTGATATTTTGAAGTTTTTAATATTTGTTAGTATCTTAAATTATTGAATGCATACGTTTTTTATGTTCTCAATTTTAAAAAAATTGTGAAGAATTTAGTTTTGTGGAGATGGATGTTTAATATTTGTGAGTGAGAATGCAAGCAGGAGTTTGGTACTTTAAGGCTAGGTTGAGATAGATTTCCCATTATATTATCTGTGAATATATTGTTTGAAAATTCAAGATATAAAAATATATTATCAAAAAATTTTATATTTTTAAATACAATAGGGTGGAAGTATAGGACGATGAGATAGCAATGATATATTTTATAATGGGAGGTAATCTGAAGATAAGTAGCAAATTTTATGCGATTTTGATTGGGAGTTGGAGGGTGTGAGTACTATAGCATGTAATAGTATCTCACACCCTCCAATTCTTCCTATGGCGCCGAAAATTTTTGGTGAAATGCGACGACATTTCACCAAAAATTTTCGGCGCCATATAGAGAACTATAGTCTGCGAGGTACTGATTCTATCTATGTACCTCGCAGACCATAGTTCTCAGCCAAAATGTCAAAAATTTCGGAAATTCGAAATAATTTTTTTTGAGAAAAAATTAACCGTTTAACATTGCCAAAAATCTAAAAAACTCACAATTTTTTTAAATTGATAACCCTCAAACCGTTTCCAATCAATAATTTGAGAGTCTATATGATAATGTAAAAGTTAAAACATTCAAGTATTTAAGTATTTCTTTAAAATATTAAGTTTTTTATTTTTCCAATAAAATTCTAATATCAAATATTTTTATTTAACGATTAATTTTATTTATAATTTTATAGTTTTTTTTAAGAAAAAATATTGTTAGGGTTTTATGGATTTTCAATTAATATACAAGATAATTCATGAATGTATATATTTCCAAGTTTTTAAGGATGCAACACTTTACATTTGTAAACTGTCAAAAGTGAAGTCACGCTATTTTTCATGCATTACATACAAAACTCCATCCATTATAGAATAGTATGGATTTGATGGATTTCCAACAATCGTTCTTAATGTTTTAGAAGTTTCAAAAGCATTTCCAGCTAAGGATGAAACACCTTTTGGAATAAATATTGTCTCTATGATAGCTCCATAAAATGAGCCAGCTTCGATTTTTTGTAAGTCAGAATAATCTGTAATTGTAACTGATTTTAGTTGCCAATTGTATGCAGAACTACTTTCACCAATTATCTTAACTTTATTCGGGATATTTATGGATTTGATGGAACAAGAAATAAAACATTTTGTTGGAATTATCTCCAAATTGGATGGAAGGATAACATTTGATAAACTAATGCAATTTGCAAATGCATATATCCCAATAACAGTCAATAATTCGCAATTGGAAAAATCAATTGAGGGTAATTTTGAACATTGTGAGAATGCACAATCACCGATTGTTGTAAGCTTTGATCCTTTCGGAAATGTAATAGATGATAATGTATTTGCGCTTTCTTTGAAAGCATATTCGGTACAAACTTCTTTCTCTGAAGTACCATAAATGGTTTCACAATCAACATGAAGAACAAAATTTGTAACATCTTTAACCGACAATAAGATTCTGTTATTATTCCCATAGGTTTCATTAACAACCAAATTTTTGAAAAAGAATATTCAAAACAACCGCTTTTGATATTAACCTTATTTTTAAAATTATGTGAGTAAATTAAAAAAGAAAATGATAATTTTATTTATATTCATTAGTATTTTGGAGTGTATTTTATCCATATTCCGTTCGAGTTTATCTTCTCTATCGATTTGGGTGTGAATTCTACAGGGTCAGTGTTCATCATATAGGGATTTGCTTCGAATAGCGAAACGCTGTTCGTTGCGTCTGCTGTTGCAGACAATAGGAGGCTGACTTCATCAACGATCTTAGCTTTCAAAACGCTCCAGTTGATCATTCCTCCGCCTTCGACTGAGAGGACGTTGATGTGGAAGTCTTTCTTAAGCTTTGACATGACTGTCTTCCAGTCGACGTCTTCCTTGCCTGCGACGATGTAAGAAACGTTGAGTCTTCTGAGCAAGTTCTTGTACTGCGGTGACGCCTTCTCAGTCAAAATCTCGATCACGTGTGCTTCAGGGCGCTCGTTGAACTTGATCGTGTTTCTGTCCCATGGGAGCTTTCCTGATGGATCGATTCCGACGACGTATGCTTTCGCATCTGTGACAGCGTAGTAGTCGCCATCTGGGCATTCTTTTTCGTCAGGATTGACAGGTGGGTTCTCTGTCGATGGGAGGACTGCGTCGAATGTCTTCCTTCCCCAAAGCCATGCATCGATATTGTAGCTTGCTGATGTCCACTCATAGTCACTCATAGATGCTTTGCCGTTTTCTGTGTTCCAATATGGACCAACCATCTTGCCGTTCAGTGAGATCAGTGAGTGAATGTTGACGAATGGTTTATCGAAACTCATTGTTGAAAAATGAAAGATGATGTGACTAAAATTTTTTGAATGAATATCAATTGAATGAAAATATGATTTTTACATAGATATAACACACAACATACAAACGATTTATATGTTTTATTTTCATACACGATAAAAAATTTTTTTCTATAACAATTATCCGGCCAATCGTCTTTGTCAATTTTGAATCCCATCAACAATTTTCAACCAAAGTTCATAAAAATGACATCTCTATATCATATTCGATCACTTTAATAAAATCAATCAAAATGAAATACGTTGATTTCTAATAAATCATTTTGTAAACATCTCAATTAATACAAAACTTTGAAATGATGAATGGATAACTTTCTCAATAATTCAATTTTTTTTCTTCTTCATGAAACATCACTCAAAACATGATACATAAAGGCATGATTAACGTTTTACATCATAATTTATAATTTTCATTTATTTTCTAACAGAAATATATGAAATTATTAGAAATTAATGTTAAATAAAGATTATTATATCACTATACTTCTATTCATGTTCGGTATAAATGATTTATGTGTTAATATATGAATAAAATCAATAAAAATTTATTAATCGAAATATGAATTTTGATGTAAAACATGTTGTTTATGACTTTATATATAACATTTTGAGTGATGTTGCATGATGAAGAAGATAAATGATGAATGGATAACTCTCTCAATTATTCAATTTTGGCTTCCTCATCATTAACTATCACTCAAAATCTAATATATAAAGGCATAAACAGCCTAATCTTCTTTTTAATTCATATATTAAGATATAATAATGCTAACTTTGGAGAATTAACGCTTAAATCAATTATATCTACAACCATTAGAAATATTTAAAATTGTCATCATTATCTGCATATTTATTTCTAACAATCTCATTTATTTCCGTATGTTAACGAAAAATAAATACAAATAATTAAATTTCTTTAAATGAAGCTAATCAAATTCATAGGACAAATGAAAATTATAAATTGTAAAAAAAAAAGTATTGGGGCTTCCAGGCACTTCGTGCCCTCTAGCCCCGAAGATGTTTTGTCACTTTTCTGTCACTTTTCAGGAAAAAACATTTTTATTATTATATATAAATGAATTTTACAAAACCACCGTTACCCTTCTTTGGAAATAAGAGTAGATGTAAAGATATTCTATTGAGAGAACTTAAGAAACTACCGAATGGTCTAACATTTGTAGATTTGTTCGGTGGAAGTTTCTATATATCCCACTTGTGCCATACTGTATTTCCTGACTCAAAGATTATATGCAATGACTTCGACAACTATATGAACCGTCTCAAACATATACCAGACACAAACAAAATATTGAAAGAGTTAAAAGAAAAGATACCTATAGGTAAGATGGAACGTATACCATTAGATAAGAAAAATACTGTCAGAGAGGTTTTGAAAAAAGCAGAGTATATTGACTGGGATAGTATATCTTCTAGACTATTGTATAGTGGTTCTATAAGAGTTCATGACATTGAAACACTTATGTCAAACGTTTTATATCTTAACTATACAAAGGTTTTCAAAGAGAACATAGAAAAATATACTGAGGGTATAGAGTTTGTGAGATGTCATTGGACAGAGTTGTATGAAAAATATAAAAACAAGGAAAATGTTTTCTTTATAGTAGACCCGCCGTTCTATAACACATATGATTTTCAATATCAAGTAGACTGGACTTTGAGAGACTCTTTAGAAACTTTAGACGTTTTACATAACCATCCATGCTTTTACTTTACATCCGATAAAAGTGGTTTGGAAACCGTTATGAGATGGTTAGAGGATATACATGACTATGAGTTTAGATATGATAAGATAGAATATGAGAGAGGTCCTATAAACCGGAAAAAGTGTCACAACAAAGAAATTTTATTGGTAACTAAATGTGGTTTGAAATAGGACTACTTGTTTTAGGTTTTTTCCATTGTGTCATTTACTTATTTGACGTGGCAGAAAGATATAGAGAATATGAAGATGAACCACTGCCTGCAAATGTTCAGCATATGTACTCGTAAGAGATATTTTTATCTAATATTAAATGGACGCACAGAACTTAGCGAATGCACAGCAACCTGGACAACCAAACCCAGAGAATATTCCAAATGAAGTTAGAATACAAACTGCAATGGCAAACTATGGTCAAGTGCCAACAGATGTACAAATGCAAACTGCCATGTCAAATGACGCTGCGTTAGGTTTGCCACCATGGTATGCAAA